TGTTCGCGAGTTTTTTCCCGGCATAATGCTAAATAAATAAATACTCCCTCCGCCCCTTTATAATTGTCTTATTTTACCTTTTCGGTTCGTCCCACTAAGATTGTCCCATACTTTATTCGGTAAAGTTTGTGTGGTTCTAAATCATTCCTACTTTATTCTTACTTTATCAATTCAATATCAACCACATAAACCTACTTTTATTAATAACTGTGTCACCTTCTCTTGTCCCAAACTTAGGGGGGCGGAGGTAGTAATTCCCAAAATACTGCTGGGTTAAAAATAATTCCCGAAATACTTAATCATGGTAATGAGAGCCGCCGGCTTTTCTAAAACAATAAGAGCATCTCCAGTGGTTGGCTAATTGCCCTTATAGCTTGACTAGCCACGTAAGCTATTGTATCAAAATTGAAATATACTCCAATGGTTAGCTATAACCTTTTTCTCTTCATTTATCATTTATAATGCTATATTTAATATTCTCTTTGATCAAGCTAGTAGCTCATTTAGGCTAATTAGCTTTCTCAAGCAAAAGGAAGAGCAATCCTCCAATGGTAAACCATTAGCTTCAAAATTGCAAGCAAGTACCTAAAAACAACCATTGGAGATGCTCCAAGAAGCTCCCGCATGTAACCAGCGTAATGCTAAAGCCAAGCCAAAGACAACCATAAATGATATTGGGTCCCACCACAAATAAATATCTCTTGTTTTCTTTGAAGTGATATAACTTTTTTATTTGTACTCTGATTGTAACAAAAAATATACCATCATTTATAACTTTTTATTATCTTTCATATGACACCAATATTGAATATATAAAATCAAAAAATCATTTAACACTTTGAATATTACTGCATATCTGATTTAAAAGTGTCTCATATTTTTTATTTGTATTCCGATTATTACAAAAAATGAAAAAATTTATCAAAATTTATTATTTTTTATCATCTTTTATATGGAAGCAATGTTTCATATAGAAAAATAAAAAGAAAATATATGAATTTATGTAGTTTAGGATCATTTTTTACTTTGCGCTATAGATTTTTCTATATTCAATATTGATGTCATGTGAAATAAAACAACATAATTTCTTGTGCAAAAAGTGTATAAATAAATGTGATGGAGTTTGTATGATTTTGTTGTAATCTATCAGTACTCTTGATTAATTTTGTGCATGGCAAAAAACGATCCTAAACAGATAAACTACACAAATTAATATATTTTCTTTTTATTTTTCTATATGAAACATTACTTCCCTATAAAAGATAGTGATGGTGATGATAATGACGATGATCATAATAATAATAATAATAATAATAATAAAAATTATAATAATAATAATAATAATAATAATAATAATAATAAAATTTGATATACCCCTCCGTCCCAATATAAAAGGCGCATTTTTCTTTTTGGGTCATCCCAATATAAAAGGCACATTTCCGTTTTTGTCAAACAAAACAGTGCAAAACAGTGCCCAACAGTGTCCAAACAGTGCCAAATAGTGTCAAACGGTGTTTCCTCCTAAAAATGTGTGGAAAAGAAAATGTGTCTTTATATTGGGATGGAGGGAGTATTTTTTATAATATTCAGAATACAAATAAAAAATATATAGCACTTTAAAAACAGATACGCAGTAATTTTTAAAGTGTTAAATGATTTTTTGATTTTATATATTCAATATTGGTGTCATATGAAAGATAATAAAAAGTTATGAATGATGATATATTTTTTGTTACAATCAGAGTACAAATAAAAAAGTTATATCACTCCAAAGAAAACAGGAGATATTTATTTATGGTGGGACTCAATATCATTTATGGTTGTCTTTGGCTTGGCTTTAGCATTACGCTCGTTAACTGCGGGAGCTGCTTATTGTTTTAGAAAAGCCGCCACTTCAAGTGGCGGCTCTTGTACCGTAAGAGAAATGTCGCCATTTCAAGTGGCGGCTCTCCTTAACCACGGTTAATCCAGCAGTATTTCAGGAATTATTTTTAGCCCAGCAGTATTTTGGGAATTATTTATTTATTTAACATTATTCCGGGAAAAAACTCAATGTGCGCAACAAGTTTCATAAATGGACAAAATATATCGATGAAAATATCCCTAGTTTAGTTTTATAGAGAATTCCGTGGATATTATTTGTATGAATATTAATATCAACTATTAAGGACGTTTTCTTTTGGACTGATATTTGTTGGTCTGGTCTGATAAGCGTCTGGTCTCTGTGTATGTTATAACTACGGAAGTCTAGTCTGATCTGGTGAGGGACTGAAAACATCCTAAAATGAACCATACAAATGTGAAAAAACTTAATGATTGACGAGGTACACATCAGAGCCTCCAACAAATAAAGTAAAATGGAAATATCAATCAATATTGGGATACTTTGGCACTTGTGCGAATATCAATGAAACAAAGTAATTTTGATCTACATACTACGAATGTAGTACTACGTACGAATGTAGTACTACGTACGAAGCAATCAAGGGCCGGTCTTAATTGGATTTTGATGTTGCTTTGGATGAGGGTTCTTCGGGGATATGACTCAGATCAAGAGATGTTGCTTTAGATGAGGGGTCTTTGGGATATGTCTCAGATCAAGAGTTGCTTGCTCGCTAAGTGATCCTAATTATAAAACGGTTACTCAACTTGAATTTAGACGAAGCGTTCGACTTCAAGCTAAAAATGCGATTAAGGGTTTGACATGGAATTTTATGTTTGCTTCTTCATAGGGAAGATTTGCCGTGTTCTTTTGTTTTGGAAGGGTGGATTCCGCTTCTATAGTAAGGGCTAATCTCTTTGGTAATGCTGAAGACTTTGGTGATCGGTTTCTATCTTCAAGAGGATGAGGGCTTCTTTTTTCGGTGTTGATCATGTGTGTTACTTCAATAAATTTATGTTGTATCTTTAAACTTTTATACCCCTGAAGTATATATGTTGAAGTGCAGACCAGACCCGTTCAGACCAGACCAGACAAGACTTGGATAGTTATAAAAATACAAAGAAACCAAACCTTACCAGACCAGATCAGATCAGACTAGACCAGACCAGACCAGACCAGCAAATTACAGTCCAAGTAAAAACATCCATACTCCTGAACTTTTAAAAAGTATAAAAATACCCCTCATGTTCTTATAAAGAAGTAAATTTACCCTTATTGACTTTAAATAGATAAAATAAATTTCAAAAAACACCAAAAATAAATTATAAATTCAAAATTTAGAAATAAAGATTTGTTATTATGTTAAAATATTAACTCTTTAATTTTGAATTTCAAATTATATATTTTTCTGTTGTAAATGAAGCACTTCAAATTCATAGATATTAATTTTAGTCTTGTTGCGAAAATTTGAACACGATATAACATTTTTGAAATAACATTCTTTCATTTTGTTTACCCTTAAAAAAATTAAACTCACTACTTTGTAATCTTTGACTATTTACTATCACACAAAATATGTAATTTTATAGTGCAAAGAATGCAAAGTTTTTTTTGTTTTACATTGTAACACATACGTTAACACTTTTTTGAAAGAATCTAAAATATATAGTAGAGTTTTGAAATAATATTTTATACTAACAATATTAATTGTGATATAAAAACAATAAAATGGAGAATTGGACACAAGTACATTTTTAAAGTTTTTAATTTTATAATTTCAAATTTATAATTTAATTTTTGTATTTTTTGAAATTTATTTTATCAAATTTAAAGCTAATAAGAGTACATTTGTTCCTTTATAAGAATATGAGGTTTTTTTTGTACCTTTTAAAGGTTCAGTGGTATATTTGCATTTTCATGTATACTTCAGAGTTATATATGTTCCGAAAAATAGAATAAAGGTATATTTATTATCACACCCATAACACAAAGTATATTTGTACATTTTCCCTTTTTAACGACCCCTTATGCTCAAGCACTTCGGTAAATGCATGTGTAGTCATTTCCTTTCATAATAGCAAAAAAGGAAGGAAAGCACATAGGGCGCTGTAGCCGCTTTTGTTATATTCCAATAATACGCGGAGTTTGTTGTAAAATGACCAGATTGACATGTGTGAATTGTTCATCCTTGTAATCAGCACACCTAGCTAGTTCTCATCCTTACTCATCACACACAAGTCCTTGTAATCACACACATGGCTAGATTCAATACTTCCAGCAAATCATGTAGAATCATTCGTAGATAATTCATCCTGTGCCTGACTAGTATAAATAGGGCTTGCTCAAACTCTTGTAAATTAATTCAGGAACTCAGAAATTTCAGAGATTAAGAAGAAGTTATTTAGAGCTTATTAATATTATATCTCTCTCTTTAATCTGTTCTTCGTCTTCATTTCACAACAGAGTTCACTTTGTCTCATTTTAAATTAACAAAATTATAAAATTGAATTTCAAACCTAGCTTATAAAGACAAAAATGTCCCTCCATTTACAATTCTGTTGACCTTCAACATATTCCTGATTGAGAGCATTTTTGTCTTTTAGTATGAGGATGAGGTGCAAAAACAAAGATTTTAAAAAACGGAGTGCAAAGTTCAATTTAGACTATAATTTGGGATGCAAACTCAAATTACTCCCTTATTTTTTTGTATTCCAAATTTAGAGCCCTTCAATAACTCATGTTTTGGATTTATCAATCTTATCAATCAATTATTTCATCAAACACAAAACTTTTAAGTGTTTGCACACTTAATCAAAATAAGTAAGATCCTAATTACTTTTCTAGTTGAAATTATTTTAGAAAATATTTTTAATATTTATGTATATAGTATATAATTTTTTCTTTATTTTTATTTATAAAATATACTATAGCAATTAATATTGATTTTTTCATAATTCACGTTGAGATTTTTTTTTTTCAAGCCATTTAAGGCTGAATTTATAAGTTGAAAGCTGTTCATTTTGTGTTTTCAATAGACAAATTCTCTAACAATACTTTTGTCAGTTTGTGTCTATTTGACTAGCGACAAAAAGTCGAAGGAGCGCATTCCTTTCAGCATTTCAGGGATTGATGGATTAACAGTTCATCCGCAATTCACGCCCCCAGCGATCTCACTCCCCTCCACCACCTTTCCCTCATCCATTTCTCCAATCCCCGGATTACCACACGACCCTTTCCCTGCCCTCAACTTTCTCTACCAAACCTCATCATATTCTTTTCTCGCTACTTCCCCATCTGGAATCTGTTTGACAATTTTACCAAGATAACATTTCTTGCATTTCATTGTGTAAAGCCAGAATCTTTTCATGAAACCTTCGTATCTCCGTGTATGCAAGAGAGATTCTTGATTTGATTTGCCTCTGTGATTTGTGGGCTTTGTTTTTCTTCTTCTGTGGATGTCATTGGCTGCCGGGCTGGCGTCAAGCTCAGAGAACATGGGGTTTGATGAGAATAAGGGGGAAGAGAAACAGGCGGAGGAGGAGGTCACTGCAGTTTCTGAGACCAACAAAGTTGCAGATTCGGACGCTGAGACCGACAATGAAGCTCCTGTTGTAGGGCGGCATATGAGTGAGAGTTCCCTTTACACTACCGAGGATGAAGAGGAGGAAGACTCTGCAAATAAGATTCAGTTGGGTCCTCAGGTTACCCTGAAAGAGCAATTTGAAAAGGACAAGGTTTGTTTGTTTTCTCTCCAGATAGCTGCATTTCCGTTTTCCTTGATTTTCACCCAAATTTATCATGATCATATTTGTTGACATTAGGATGATGAGAGCTTGAGAAGGTGGAAGGAGCAACTTCTTGGGAGTGTGGATATCAATGCTGTAGGAGGTATATACATATAAACACTTTTTCTGCCTCTTGGCTTCTTTACCCTTTTTTGTTGTTTTTGTTAGGCTGATGATTATATGAAACTTTCAGGCTCGGGTTGATTTCTTTATTTTAAAAAACTTGCCAGATGCTACTTTTTAAATCATCTTGCTACATTATATTATTATAATTATCATTGCAAATTTGCAATGCAATCCATTATGCATTTGCAGTAATATAATACTAGCTTCAAGATATACAGGTAATAAGGTAAACAATTTGAATTATGGTTAATATGAGGTTGGCATGCTAAGTTGCTTAAGATGTGGTGTTTCTGTCCCATTAATAGGTTTCTTCCATATAGTGCATATATTCTAATTGTTGCCTGCTGATTTATTTAATGGCAGATAACATTTTATTTCATACAATAAGCTTTTCCCTGATCTCAGGAAGAATCTTATTTGTAAGAGAATAGTTAATCTCAATGAAATAAATGGTATGAATATCATTATGATGGAATGCATTCTCAGAATGATGATTTCTGAGCTCGGGCTAGTACTTCTATTAGATTGCACTTCTAGATTTTTTTGTTGAAAGAGGAAAGTAGAACCATGGAGCATTTACTAAAATCCATTAAGTGATGAAAAGGGTCATTACGAAGTTTATTAACAATGCAGGCTAGTTAATAATCGCATTTGAGCCCTCCATATTCTTAATAATGTCAGATAGAACAGACAACCATTTTCAAGAATTCAAGATTGCAAAACAATTTTATTGATGTCGTATTACTTTTGTTGGTGGATTTGGGTGCATGGTCTTCATATTGCTTATACTAAATGAGAGTATGACAATCACAAGTTAAAGGTGGTTTACTACCCCCATCAACAATTAAAGCAGAATTAGGGTAGATGTTGTCATACCAAGTGATGATAAATCGAGTCTATCAGTCTATGAGAGAATATATTACGGAGTAATATAATGTGGATTAGCTAAATCATAAATAAAATCCACATTACCAACTTATCCAAATGGCTTACACTATATTGCTAATATTCATTTGGAAAAGATGAAGATCCCGCTTAATTGAAATTAGTCAAATTGTCAAATCCTCTTCTTGTTGTTTTGGCTATATATCCAATACTAACAGATACTTTTAACAAAAAAATATAAAATAAAATTGCATTAAGCTGTGTGAATAGGTCATTTATGAGCTTGCAATGCCTCCCTAACTGATGGAATGTGGGGGGTTGGTTAAATTTCAGAATCTTTGGATGCGGAAGTGAAGATACTGAGCCTTTCTATCCTTTCACCGGGCAGAGAACCTATTGTTCTACCAATTCCTGAGGATGGAAATCCTCATTGCCCGTGGTTCACATTGAAAGAAGGAAGCCGTTACAGCTTAAAGTTTGCATTCCAAGTCACCAACAACATTGTTTCTGGTCTCAAATACACAAACACAGTCTGGAAAACAGGCATGAAAGGTACTCAAGTCCCCCAATCACTTTTCTCTTCCATCTTTTATTGTGTATTGTTCGGTAGGCTGTGGAACCTTATGAAACTATACTAAAGGGTGCCTTTTGTGAACTTATTCTTGGTTCAGTGGATGGGTCAAAAGAAATGATCGGGACCTTTAGTCCTCAAATAGAGCCGTATACTCATGAAATGCCAGAAGAGACTACTCCCTCTGGACTCTTTGCCAGGGGATCCTACTCAGCCAGGACAAAGGCAAGTTTTTATTTCTTTTCAAAAGCTGTATATATAACTCGTCAGGCCATTCCAACATGATTTTTATATGGCTTAAATGTTATTTTTTGCACTTGGAAGTATAAAAATAAGTAAAAGGCTTAAATATGTTTGTCACTTTTTTAAAGGCTTAACAAATTATGTGGAAAGTGCATGCTGGAGTGTTTGTGACAAAAAAACAAATTGGCATGAATTACATGGATGAATAACAATTTGTTTCGCAACGACCTGAAGAAAAATGTATATATTTTATGAGACGAGATATATTGAATTCATAATATAATGTTTTTTAAGTATGGTGTATGCTTCTTGCCATTCCAGTTATATGCACGAGTGTAGGACTCATTCTCACGTAATTTATGCTGTACTGAAATAATGTATTCAATCTTCGATCCTGCAGTTCCTTGATGATGACAATAAGTGCCATCTGGAGATCAACTATACATTTGAAATCAAGAAAGAATGGCCAGCAACATAGATGCAGTCCTGTGAAACTTTAAATTGCTGCCTGAGACATTTCTTCCTTTTTTGCTTTTTGCACTAGTAGTTAATTATGTTGTCTTTTCCACTGATTTTTCTGGAGAGGAAAGGGGAAACTCTTGATGAACTTGATAGGAGTGCCAGAGCTTAATAGCTCATAGTAAGCTAGGTATTTGTTTTGTTTAATAATGCTGAGTTTTGGACCATCAAGTTTTGATAAATCTTTCTTTTCCATCGATGAAGCACCGAAAGTCCGAAACTTACCAAGTCTTGCATTTTTCCGTTTCCAAAACTCCGAAGCTTGTCAAAAATTCATAGTTTAATTTCCTTTTTTGGGCCAGTTTCAATAATTAAGAAGAATCAGTAAATATGTGTCCCTAATGTAAAATAAACTTTAAAGAGCTAATTTGGCAAATGTAAATAAGGAAGATGGTATAACACAGTGAGAAAGGGAGGTTTTATTATATATGAACACGGAACACCTAGTCATAAAGCTTGCTCCATTGTTTTCTCTTTTTATTTGGCTTCCTTGTTTTGTGTTGGGGTAGTTTGTGATTGCAGCTTCTCTTTTAGTGTGAACATAGTAAATGCTCTTGTTTAAAATTTTATCACTCCAGCTACAAGCCTACAATATTCTCCCAGCAATGAAGAACCCCTTTATCGATCCATATTGTGACGTGCGTTGTGTGACCAGAGAGGAGATAGGGGTGATGTTCATGTGTAGTATGGAAAAACTATTGAAAATTTATCCGAAAAAACCTTTGTAGCAACCCATACTGATATATTGCCCTGGCTACACCCTGGGTGTGACCAATCAACTATCCACATGAATTTGAATTTACCTAACTCGAACTATGATCTTACTAAAATCCAGTATCCTATATCCGTTAAAATATAAGCCATTGACCCACCAATAAATCAAGACTCCTATCATCATTTCATCATCCCACATGAAAAAGTGGCAATGCGGTGGTTAATGACGCTACAAGCACACAATGGTAGTTGTAGAGCGTGGTGATCGACACCACAGGAGATGATGGTAGGGATTAGAAGGTAATAATGCACAATAGATTATAATTTAGGTACGTTTGTTATGTTCCAAAATCTCGGCGACAACACAGGAGTTGAAGATAGGGATTAGGGACTAGAATAGTAGAATGTAATGCACAATACATTACTCCGTATAATCTAAATCTAGGTACTTTTGTTATGTGAAAGGGAATAGCCGGAGTTTCAAATGATGGGCGGTAATAATAAGCGGTAATAATAAGGATGTTTTTACTTGGACTGAAATTTGTTGATCTGGTCTAGTTTGTTTAAGTCTGGTGTGATCTAGTATGACCTGAACGGGGTCTGGTAAATGTAGGCATGGAGCCGGGCCTAGGCCCGGTCAGGCTTTTGTGTTTGGGAGAAGGCCCGAGACCGGCCCGGGTTGCCGCCAGGTCCAGGTCGGGCCGGGCCCTTGCAGTTTGTATTTTTTTTTCCTTTCGCTAATTAAACCCCCAACCCCCCTCACCCCCACCCCCAAATGGCCCAAAATACCCAACCCAACCCGGGTTTTTAAAAAAAATTGAAAAATAATAATAATAATAACAATAATAATAATAATAATAATAAAGCCCGAACCAAGCCCAGCCCAGCGGGTTCCTTATTCAGCTGACCCGAGCCCACCCTTCCCTAACCGGCGGGCCAGGCCTACCCGAACCGGACTGTAGCGGGTCACCGGGCTGGGCCGGGCCGAAACAAGAGCCAGTTCCAGGCCAGGCGGCCCGACCCAAGCCCAAGACTAGGTAAATGTCTGGTCTGACCTGAAAACAGTCGGAGCCAAAAACATCTTAATACTCGATGTATGAGGTATTAATAGCTTACGTACATGCTTTGTTCTGTTTGCTGTAAATAGGGCTTCGGTGCATATCACTATAGGTTGACATTTGACAAGGCATTCCATAAAAGTAGTTCACTAGGAGAGTTTCATTTTACATTTCCATGAGAAATTAACATTTCAAGTAAACAGTTTATGGCAGTGGAAGAAGTTAGGATGCTCCTTTCTGCTCTGGGAGGAGCACAAAGCAAGGATTATTAGCTCCTCTCCCCTCCCATATTGCCAAACATACACTCAAAAGAATCATTTACTACGACTAGGCAAGATTGTTTAAAAAAATATAAAGATGCCAAGAGCAAGTTGACTAGAAAGAGCAAGGTTCGGACTTAACACTAGAAGAGGCAATTGAAGAAGAGATCAGAAATACTAGTGATATGATTACCATGTACTGCATTTCCATTGCAACAACATACCCTAAGTTTTATGATCCAATAATTTTCTCGGCAATGTTGAATGAAAAATAGGGCATAAAACTTCCAAAGATAAAACACTGTTGTTGGTTGGGTAATCTTGGCATTTCTTTCAAAGATAAATGCCCAATAAGAAGAATGATGGTATGGACAGGGATACTTTGGAGAATTGGAGATGGTTAAGTATAATACGTTGTAAAAAAAATGACCACATAGTTTAAACTCAGTGTCAACATTGCCATAATAATAATACCCAATGTAAGGAAGCAAAACCACATAGTGCATCATCTGATTTCCAGGTCCTATATAAGCAATATAAATTGTAAAATACTGCATATTAAAACAAAATTCAGGTTGAACAAGATAAAAATCATTAGGAAACAAGAAAATTTTCACTTTCAGCATAAGATAATCAAATGGTGATGACTTTTCTCTAAAAAACTAGAGCATGTGGTTTCATGCCTTCCTTCAGGGAGAATCTTGCACCCAAATAAGTCTTCAAATCTGGAACTGACTCAATTGCTTTAATCAGAACGGCATCAACTTCCTTCTGGTCATCCTTCTTCTCTTGAGGTAGGGCAATCTTCTCCTGCATTTTCAAATGTAATCATAAAATATTAGCACAGTAGTAAAAACCATTACGAACTGAATAAGGGTAAACCAGAAGAATCACGAAACCTCTTTGTCTGCATCAAAGAACTCTCCTTCGGTCTTCTTCTTCTTCTTTTCTCCCTTCTTAGCGAAGTACTTATCGTCAATCTTCTCCAAATTTACACCAGAAATGTCAACTTTCGTTGAGGTTGCAATCACATAAGCTTGATTCACGCGCCTCAGAGGAACGCCGTTGATCTTGAATGGGCCAGTGATAAGAAGAAGCCCAGACGCGAGTTGCTTTAGGAACACAACCCTCTTTCCCTTAAATCGACCGGCGAGGATAATCAGAACTGTTCCCGGAGTGATACTGGACCTAAGCTTAGTTGGTTTAGGTTTATGCTTGTTGACGAGTGGCTTCTTAACATCGTCGGCGGGGTAAAACTTCGGTGGCTTCTCGGCCACCGGTGCTTCGGCGATCTTCTTTTCGTGGTGAGGAAATTTTCCGCCGTTTTTGGCTTTGATTGCCCAAAGACCCCTCTTGTGGTACATCTTCGACCTTGAGAAGGTGCCGACGCCCCTGATGAGCTCAGGGTTCCGAGACTTTTTGGCCGCCATTGCAGAGTAGCTGCGAGCTTCGTTTCAGTATGGAAGCGAACCCTAACCCGAACTGCAATATATATGCCTTCCTCTCTTGAACCACACACGCAAAATGGCATTATATCATGGGCTATTTTTATATGGGCTTTTACCAGATACAATTACGTGTGGGTTTTTCTGTACCTGCGACATATGGACCGAAATGGAGACAGGCCGAAAAGCAATCAATTTTAAACCTTTTCTTTACCGGTTTAGTTCATTTGTTTGATTGTGGACCTTTGGTTGGTTTAGGCCACTTTTAGTTCAATTGTTTCTAGCCGATTTCAATGTGTTTTTTTGTGCTTAGATCTAGGGATGACATTTGTGACTGATCCGATGGATACCTGCATCGAATCGTCCCGTTCAAAATGGGGAAAACCGCATTGACCGGGTACGGGGCGGAAACAGGGCGGTTACGGTTTTATACATGCCCGCCCCAATATCCGCCTCGTACGGTCCCGTTTGTTTTTAGTTATATTTTTATTACATTTTTATCTATTGTGTGTCCCACAGCTAATAAAAGATGAGATATTTCTATTTTCAATGTATATACAGGGATAATAGATGTACTAACTATAATTTGAATGAAAGTTCATATTAGATTTTAATAGTCTTGTTTGATTATTAACAGAATTTTTTTCGTGATGAATTATTTTTCACGTTGAGTTTTTTTATGTTCAAATTAATTTACCATGATTTGTTGACCATGCTTGTTTTGTAGTCTCTAGAGCTTTGCTCATGAAGGCAAGCAGGTGTCCTCTTTGAGATAAGACTGCCCCTATTCCAAACCCAAACGCATCAGTCTCAATAACAAAGTCCTCATTGAAGTTTGGTAATGCAAGGATGAGTGTCGATGCAACAGCCTTCTTGAGTGCCTTGAAAGCTTTGATTGCATCTTCGCCCCACCTAAAATGCCCTTTCCGCAACAGTTGAGTAGTGGCTGAACAATTATCCCATAATTTTGAACAAACTTTCGATAATAGCCGGTTAAACCCCAGAATCCTCTCAAAGCCGTCATAGTATTTGGTAAGGGTCAGTCCAACATGGCATCTACCTTTTCGTGGGTCAACCCGAACTCCTGCCCCTGATATGAAGTGCCCTAAATACTCGACCTCTGTTTGGGCAAATAGACACTCAGAGGGCTCAATGTAAAACTAATTTTTAAACAAAATTTCAAGTGTAATCCGCAGGTGCTCCAAATGTTCTTTTCGTGTCCGATTGTAAACTAGAATATTGTCAAAGAAGACCAATACGAATGTTCTCAAATATGGTCTAAATATGTCATTCATAGCAGCTTGGAAGGTGGAAGGTGCATTGCATAATCCAAACGGCATGACAAGGTATTCATAGTGTCCGTTGTGAGTTCTAAATGCCGTTTTTGGAATGTCGTCCGGGTGAACCCGTATTTGGTGGTAGCCTGCCCTTAAATCCAGTTTCGAAAAACATGTAGCCCCATGTAGCTCATCTAGCATATCGTCAACAGTTGGGGATCAGAAATCTATCTTTGATCGTCACCTCGTTTAGGGCTCGATAATCTGTGCAAAACCTCCAGGTTCCATCTTTCTTTTTTACTAGGAGTATTGGGGATGAAAATGGGCTTGTGCTTGGGCGTATTAGACCGGATTCTAACAAATCTGCAACTTGTCTCTGAATTTCATTTTTTGGAAGTGAGCATATCGATATGGTGCCACATTTACTGCTATCTGCCCATTCTTAAGCCGTATTCAGTGATCATACACGCGGCTAGGGGGTAACACCCTTGGGGAGGCAAATAT